ATATATATATATAGGGTGAGTGAAAATAATATGGGTGAGTGTTTACATAAAAATACTTATTACAGTAAAAGACACATTGCCAAGAATGATAGGATAAATATGTTCAAAGTGAGAGAAAGTATTTTGATTGTTTTGAGGGGAGTTAATGATAATGTGTCTTTTACTGTAGTAATTTCTAAAAACTGAAAGTCACTGTACATGACTTTCTTTAAAATGTCATTTCTTTTTCTTGAAAAAAAATGTTAGAACTAAAAATGTCCTTGCCCCGTCTTTTTTTTTGTTGTTCTTTCTTTATCTCATGGATTGTTGTAAAATGCTTACATTCAGTGTCAGCATATTAGTTGTAACCTTTTATTGCTATTGATATCTTTAAGTACGTTAAGTAAATCTTCATTTTGCTGACCTCTTTGAGGGTGCATGGCATCAGCAGATTCTCTCTTCCAGTGGACAGGTGAGAGATGAGCAGAATCAAGTCAATTTTTTTCCTTTTGCTTTGTTTCTTCCTGAGCAGTAAGATTCATAGTTTAGCAATAGAGAAGCGGGGTAGTTGGCAGAATTTGTCTTAGAGTTAATGGCTTAAAGAGAACATGTAAATTACACAGCTTGTTTGAGCAAACTCTGGTAGGTACCACAGCAGGAGGATTCTTTATACAAAACCTGTTTTCTCAAGCCAGTCATTTTGACTCAAGCAGATTGATAGCATAGTAATTAATAACACAAGTTTTTCAATATGCAGGTTCATTTGTAGATCATTTCAGATGGCAGCTTCCTCTTCCCCTGCCATCAGGGAGGCTGCTTTGCCAGATGGATTTGCACTGGGAACAGAATCTGCCAAGTCCCCAGGAGACAACTTCCTAGGGTAATTTGTTCACCTGCTGACTCCCTGACCCAGTGTAACCAGACTCATCCTGGTCCTGCCAGGTGTGGAGAAATTGTAGGGAGCACATGATGTCCTCTAGAGAGCAGTAGGGGTATGAGTGGCAAGAACACAGGGACTTTGTTCTCTTGCAAGTATTTAAATGATTTTTTGTTTTTTCTATCTTCTGACCATTTCCCTTTCTGTGCTTTGCAGGAAACCGGCTCTCTTGAAGAATCCACGGATGAGTCTGAGGTAAGGTGGAGGTGATTCAGTAGCCTTAAGATCAGTTGCCAACTGTAGTTCTGTTGTGAGCTCATTCTGCTTTGCCAAGTGCGATATTCACAGGGGCCAGCAGGGTGGGTAAAGGAGGGCTATAAAGTGGAGCCCTAGGGAAGAGCATGTCAGTTACCTCTAAAAGTATTAAATGGATTAGCTTGAAAACTAATCAGGAAAAGGGAAAAAAGGTTTTCTCTTCATCCTGAATAATGTTTTTTACTATTTATTTATTTTTCAGTACTGGGGATCGAATTCAGGACCTTGTGTTTCCAAGGCAGGCATGGTGCCACTGAGCTAAATCCCCAACCCTATCCTGAATAATATTTTAACTTGAAGTGTGTGGACTCTGGAAAAATTAATGCACAGTTTTAAAAAATTAATCTCAACACTTTAAGCCTTTTTTAAATAACTTAATCTGTTTTGGATTTTATGATATATTTTTCTTCTTTTTTTTGTGCTGCTGGCATCCAATCCAGGGACTTGACATACAAGGCAAGCACCCTACCACTGAGCTAATTTTTTTCTCTTTTTTTTTTGAGACAGGTTCTCACTATGTAGTTCAGACTGCCCTGGAGCTCACTATATTGCCCAGGCTGGTCTCAATCTCACAGCAGTCCTCTTGCCTCAGCCTCCTGAGTGCTGGGATTACAGGCATGCCCCACTACACTGGTTTTTGCTGAGCTACTCTTGAAGCCCCAATGTTCATTCTTTATTCATGCATCTAATGAGTGTGACATGCTCATTGTTATAATTCCCGAATCCTTGAAATTATTCCCAATATTTTTAAATAAAGAAGAAACTACCTTGAAACTTAGCAAGTTGTGTTGGATGATTGTATCTTAAAAAAAATAAAGTCATTAGGGCTTTTAAAAAAATTCCATTTCTGAACTATGCATAACAAACAAATTTAAGCATGATACAAATTAATTCAGTTGTCCATTTTGTAGATTAGCAAGAAGCACATATTTTCATTTTACTGTTTAATTTAGCTCAGAGGAATGAAAGGGTATCTGTGATGACCTGCTGGAAAGTCACACCAATGGACTATACCTATGATAGTCTATTAAATTTGAGTTGATGTTGCATATTGTTATTAGATGAATTTTGTTGCTTTTTTAGAGAAAAGTTGAATGCATATTCTTCTAGGAAGCTATATATATATGTACATGTGCAAATATATATGGTGTTATAGCATTTCACTGTGTTGGTTCTGTTTCTATGGGGCTCCAGGTAAGGCATTTGTGAATTTGAATTTTCTTATGAATGGGGTGTATGTAATACCTACTAGTTTCTGATAAAGTATTGAAAAGGAAAAGCATTTCAGATCACCATTCTCATTTTTGGAAGTCTAAGTGAGAACCTGTGTTCTCAGAGTCATTGCTATAGAGTCATACAGTGTTTGAGCTCTGTACAGAAATTTCAATTTGCAGGTGTGGAAGAGGTTGGCAGGCATCTGAGTCTAAATCTTTCTATAGATTCTCCAGATACTAAATGAATCAACAGGGAAAGCAAAGAAAAGTGCATACATCCCAGGCCTCCAGTATAAATAGGACACAGGGATTGCTGAAAGTTTTAACCTAAATGAGACTGTAAATATCAGTGGAGCCAACTCTGAGGTTGGTGCTGGAATCCAGAGTCTGGTGGAGGCTGTGCAGCTGAGCTGGTGGCAGAATGAAGACAAAAACTGTCCCCAGGGAAAGGAGACCTCCTCCATGAGTGGGGAACTGTGACCAGAGATGAGAGACCTGGTAGACATGGAAAATTGAAGACTAGCATGTGTAGTGGTACACACCTATAATTCCAGCACTGTGGGACACTGAGGCAGGAAAATTGCAAGTTCCTCCCCAGCCTGGGCAACTTAGCCACTTATCCTATTTTTTTTTCTTCTTCTTCTAGTACTAGGAATTGAACTCAGGACCTTGTGAATTGAACTCAGGACCCTGCGCTCGTGAGTCAGGCACAGCACCACTGAACTAAATCCCTGCCCCATAGCCACTTATCTTGACATTAAAAAAATTAATAATAAATAAAAATATAAAAAGGGCTTAGTATGAAGCTCAGTGAGAAGGCCCTGGGATCAATTCCCAGGAGAATGAATAATGAATGTATGCGTGAATGAATGAACTTAAAAGTGTGCGGGCCCAGAGTGGCCAGTGCTAGATGGTGCTGCTTCTGGGAAAGATAGAACACAAAGCAGAGAAAGTTAAGGGTACCCAGAAACAAAGTCCATCCCCAAATCATAATTCCCTACTCTTTTCTCCCGCACTTATAAAAGAAAGTGTACTTCACTTTGTCTGTGTGACTCACAAGCCTAGTGAAATGGCCATATGCCTCACTCCTTCTCTGTCTTCTGCTCTTGCTACCCAGGAAAGGCCAAGACATTTAAAAATGGCCTGAAATGGCAGATAACATCTGTACAAAGCTCTCATAAGTTTCTTTGATTAGCAAAAAATAGTAACATAACACTCCTTCATGGGTGGAGGGGGGGAGTTGTGTGTGTGTGTTGTGGTACTGGAGATTGAACCTTGAACTGTGCTACATTCCTAGCCCATTTATTATTATTTTGAGTTGGGGGCCTCACTGAGTTCCCCAGGCTGGGCTCAAATTTATGATCTTCCTACCCCAGCCTCCTAGAGTGCTGGGATAACAGATGTGCACCACCACACCCCACTAGGTATCTGTAAGCAAGCATTTGAAGATAAGATCAGTGACATTAATCTGAAATTCAAAAGCTCAGAATAGAAGTGGACATAAAAAGGAATTTAGGGAATGAGAGTTGACCAAACTCAAGAAGGAAACTGGAGGAAAAGGTAGTTAATGTTGAGGAAACAGATTCAAACGATGGCCTGGCCATGTCATCAGTAGAAAAAAAAATGGTTTCCAGCTCTTAGCTTCTGGAATCATTTTGTCGTCTAGGGTCAGTGCCAAGGGACTGACTTCAGTATTGGGGTTTGTATCGTGGCTGTCCCTTGTAGTTTGTATGATTTGGGCCTCACGCTCACCTCGAACTTTCCAACTCCTTGTGAAAATGCAGTGATTGCTCACTGTGAAGGGTTGATGTGAGGTTAGATAACCCGAATGTTTGGAAAGTCTTGTGTAGGACTAAGCACAGGGGAGCACTCTGGTGGTTTGTGATCAGTGATCTGCAGTTTGTATCTTACCTGTGGTGGTGGTTGCTTATTTTCCAACTTGCTGCTCTGAACTGAGACAGAAAGATGGCCTGCCGGCTCTCTGAGAGTGGTCACTGATTCTACAGAGTTTATGGACCAGCAGAGTAGAGAACAGTTGATGGGCCAAATCCAGGCTTTGTACATATACTCTGTTTGTACCTAAGCATTGTGAGACATTTTTCTTGGGTTTGTTTACTGAGTTGAATCACTTTGTAGTTGTAGGAGTGGTGTTTTAAGACATCACTCAAAAAAAAAAAAGGCATCACTCAGTCTGTCCAAGACTCTTTGATCCCTTGTCCTCTGTCTCTTCTTCCCATTAGATTCTGTAACTGGTAAGCTTTTGTGAGATAGGCATGTCTTTCATATATTTTTACTTCCTTACTCAAGAATCAGATAATTTCCATTTCTGTGAACAATTATGTGCAATGTTCTCAGTCATGTATTACAACAATTTGTCTGGCATAAAAAGATTTGTTTTTGTATAAATTAGGCTTTTATGTTATATCAAGAAGACCATTATTTTAGGTTTATCCTAATGTATGTCTGAAAGAGAATATTATCTGTTCAAAATTATCTCTTTGTTTTTCATTAATCTTGAAAACTGCACCCAAATGCAATAGCTGAGTTGTATAACGTAATCGAAGGCGGTGTATGCAAGGTGTATGCAAAAATACAATGAAGATTTAAAATTTAAAAACATCATAAAACACACATTCCCTGTTTTGACCCTCACAGTGCTCCCCTTCACGTCAAACATACTTATCCCATTATTCTTGCCACTTTCCAAAGCACTTCTGAAAGCCCTCTTTCATGACTGTCTTTACGAGGTGCCATCAAATATATGGTGAGTGTTGCTGCTGAGTACCATTCAGCGGAATGCAGCCTTGAAAAACATGCTATGTTCTCATTACTTTAGTCACTGGGTCTGGCACTGTATGACCTCTGCTCTTCCCCAATGTCAAAATGATCATAAAAAGTAAACATTTGAATCGATTCAAGACACTGAGGTAACCATGGCAGTATAATTAAAAACACTCAGAAAAGTGAACTTTCAGCACTGCTTCAGAAAGTGGCAGGAATGCTGGGATAAATGTATGTGCAGTGAGATGGAGTATTTTGGGATGGATTAATGGTACAGTGTCTTTTACTGTAATAATTTTTAAAGAATGTAAATCCACCATATTTTTTTGATTACACCTGGTATACATCAGTGTGTAAAACTAAGAATTTCAACTTGTATATTGTCATTAAAGTAGAAGTTAAAAACTGTATTATAATCAAGATAATTAAGTATGTCATTTAAGAGCTATAGTTATGGATCCTGCATTTATATTAATACTTTAATCAGTTTTGGCAAATTTTGTAGAATAAAGTGGTCCTCCTAGCTCAGATTTTTTTTTTTTACTATATAGTGTACTTTTTATTCTACCTTAGTATGATGAGCCAGACAATTTCTTAGATGGTGTTTTTCTTTTGAAAAGCATAACAAGAAGTACATTATCTTTAAAAGGATTTCACTTCCATTTTGAAGCACTAAGATCTTTTTGGTACTTACAGATGATTGCTGTGGCTGTAAGTGATAATGGGGGAGGTGGGAGCACAGAAAAATGGTTGGTTCCAGAGTGAAGTTGCTGGGGACCTTGGAAGGTAAGTGGGTAGAGAGGCCCACTTGTGGAAGGAGGGAATGTAGGGGCAGAGACTGAGTCGAGTCATCCAGTGCATGGGTGTTAGCGTGTTAGAGTTGAGGCACCAGTGTAGTTAGACCATAAGGAAAGACATCAGGGCTAGAAAACTCCTGATTTATCA